TTTACACAAAAATACATATTGAATGACTATCACTCACAATCTGTGGTCTTGGCACCTTGTGATGTAATGGCTGCCCTTGCTGACATCAGACCCAGCCCAAGGTAGCTACAGTGAAAAAAGAGAATAAAMGCATTAACTCTGTAATGATGTCAGATCTACTGTTTAGAATCTGTCATTTAGTTGAGAASAACCATGAATTATTTCAAAGATTAAATGAAATTTTTTGTAGATGTTATTTTTCATAATTGCAGTGAGAATTAACTGTCAAGCATTTTCATCTTTAGCTAATTTTTGTGCTTTTTATTTTAAAAATAGTTGATGGAACCATTAAAAAAAGAGTTCTCAAAAGGCAACTTTTACCTATTTTAAGCCTTTTTACCACTTCTTTATGCAGGGTTTCCATTAAGTTTTGAAATAATATTAGAAGACCATGCACCAGTTGAAGAGTCTTGTCAGGTTTTCATAAATTTTTGAAATAATAGGAGAAGATTATGGTAGTTTTAGCCAGAGAATTTTGCTAAGCTACCAGAGCATYCTCTGATCTCCGGCTCTTAATGAAAACACTGTAACACTGTTTGCAACAGCATCAGTATATGTCRCACCTGCTAAGAAGAGCTGCCTAGATTGGCCAAAACAAACAATAGTTTTCATTGTCAAATCTTTCTATTGTTTTCCCTGCTAGCAGAGCCTATTTTCCTTTTGTTTTGGTGGAGTGAGAAAAATAGGCTCTCCCTCCTCCCTGCCTAAAAGAAGGGAGAGAAAGAGGAGGGACTCTGCTAGCAGAGAATCTTTTGTCTTGTTCATATTGTTTCTCGTTCTATTGTATTAATCCAATTGGGTTAAATCTYCTTAGAGCTGCAACCTTGCTCGCATATTAAGATGATAGGCATATAGTCTTGTTCCTCGTGATGGGTTACCTGTGTGTGTAGAGTTTGTATTCCTGATCAAACACTTTAGCCTTCTGTGTGAAGTCTTTTGGGGAATTAGCAATTGTATCCTACAAAATAGACATTTCAGCATATATTTAAGTAATAATTGGCTCCCAGTAGTTGAAATAGCCCACTTCCAAAATATGCTTCACTTGTCACRCACAAAGGTTTCAGTATGAGGMTACRTGCTAAATGCTCAGTCATTCGTGAMAGRCAKWAARAATAAATTTAATTTAGCACRTAGCCTCATACTGAAAYCYTTGTGCATGACAAGYGAAGCATATCTCGGAGGTGGGCTATTATCAGTAATTAACATATCACTAGAAGAGACCTTTAGCATCAGGTTTACTGCTAGCCAGTACTAATCACTAATGATCCGAAGGCACAGAAACACGCCCACCAACACAGAGAAACACTCAGCATCAATGAAATTCAATATGTCGGCTCTTCCATCAACAACTTTGTAATGATGTCTTGCTGAATGTTAAATGTTTGATGGAAAACCCCTAATGTTGAACTGCAGTAACCTAGCAAAATCTAATGTCGTGCTAACGGTCTCTACTATCAGTTCACACAGCTGATAATAACCATATTTTCCCATAAAATTGCATACATGTCGTGATGTCAATAGTCCAGTCAATCTGTGGTTCAAGATCGAACTAATTGCAACAGAATTTATTTTACCCATAATTGACAGTTTGAGGTAACCTTAGTAGCATATTTAAAATTCCAGAAAATTCCAATTGGTGAGACTTCTAGAAATTCTAACTTAAAGATTTTAAACAAAATACCACAGGGTACCAGAGTCTGGAAAAGTTGCAATATGCAATTAAATTAAAATTACCGCAATATACAAATTGTTTGGGGTTATAAACTGTTGTTTTAGTGTTTTGCAAACAATATGTTGAAAACCCACGAACATTTAACGTTAAAACGGCTTTTCTTAGAAATTCCCGCCACAGGGTACCCGAGCCAGATATTCATTTTTCCTGTAGTTTTTATTCTTTATTTTTCTTTCCTTCTATATGCAAAGTGGAACAAAAAGTGTTTGACTGAATTTGAGAGTATTTGTTTTCAAAGTTTTGCACTCTTAAGACTTTGAATGGAAGGGTAAGCTCCAGAAAGGCCTAAGGCAACATTTTACTAACACTCGTCACTTTATTGAACAAATGCCATGGTGATAGCAATCATTGGTTTACATCACGATGGTAAATGATCATAACTTCTTTGACCTGTTCCTTGTCTGTCTGTAGTTTTCCCAACTACACCAAAAAAAAAATGCTGTACAAGCTACAATACTTGTAATAGGGATTACTATCTGGCTGGTTGCCTTCTCGCTACACTCTATTATCGTCCTCCTCACTGTCTGTGAGTTCTGGCTGTGGTGAGTTGACGCAGCTGACATCTTTGCATGCTCCACAAGCAGCCGAGCAGTCCAAGCCAATTTTTAGGCACAAACATCAGCGTACTGCAGCGTATGATCTCCAGCAGTGACAATGCATGGGCAGCAGGCAGGTTGGTGCGTTTCCACCCTTCATGATCATCTCCCATCCCCATTCTTGTGGAGGTAGATTAGTTCCTTTCCATTGCTGCACCTGATGATATACTCTTAGTCTGTGAAAGCACGCAGCGGCATAAGTTGGTGGAAGGCGTTCTGGCTGGACACAAATATTGCCAGTAGCAACCTTCAGACAATAACGGGAGTATCGCAAAGAGTCAAGGGATTAGAGAGGTGGTAACACAACAAAGAAGCGCATGCGCAAATACATACGTGTGCATACGAGTGCATACGCATAGTCCCAATGTAGACTTTGTATTCTTGATGTTCCACACCCTGCGTTTCTTTGATCTTTGCTTAGGCTCGGGGATAAAGAAAAGGTCACCCGCATTCATCTGTCCATGGTAAATCAGTAGCACAAGCAGGTCAGTATCGTCACCAACAAGAACAGTGGTATGAGTCCGTGCTTCTTGTACGGCGGTCTGGACAATGAGGAGGTCAGCGTCACCAGGAGCTTGAAGAACAGTGCAATTGGCAAACCTCAGCTTCTATGCGAGGAGATTAATAAATCTGTGCCTGTTTTCTTGGTCGTCCTCAGGGAAATGAGCATACCAGAGTCGATTACCACGGGTGGCGCACTGGTAGGAGCTCGCTGTTGGTGTGCACACCCCTTGGTTGATGGACCTTGATAGCCATCGAAGACAATCGTGGCATTTCCATACCGCCCTTGTATGTAATGAACCCACATTGCACAAACAGCATCATTCGTCACCCCATGTGGCCATATGATGCAATGAATAAGTGCGCCTGCATCCACAATATAGTGCAGATCTCCGGTTACAGGGCATAGCGTCTGTTTGCTTTCCGTTTGAGCCCATATGGCATCAACTAACACAGAGTTATTGGCTTACCTTGGAAGAAGAGAGCTGTCAAACAAGGCGCTGGGATAGCTTGACATCTAGTACTTGAACAGGGTCTTAGGATCCTGGTATTGGCCACTGGTGGCCAGAATGTTTAACCTTTGGAAGAGAAGTTGCGGGTCTATTGGTACATATCCCTTGCTGAGTGGGACAACTGTTGTGGAGGCAAGAGTTAGTGCTTGATGCTTCTTCTGGAAAGAAAACTTGTCAACTTTCTTTCCACGCATAACCTGGATGATCTTCTCTCCCGCCTCTTTAGCCTTGTCACAGGTGACATTCTCTTCGGCCACTACTCCAGTCGCTATGTTTCATATCAGGCATTTCTTGCTTGGCCGAGAGGTCCAGTAAAATTCGCTTTTTTTAACATTTCCAAGCATAAAACACTATTTTCTAACTTTTTCAAATGAAAAAGACCCTGAAGCCTACAAAAACTATTAAGGTGACTGCCTACTTTTGGAAATTGATTTAAGCTTTTCTTAAAGCTTCGATTTTCCAAATTGAAATTTAATGCTGATTCCAAATCTGTAAAGACAATTAGAGTGTCCCGAGCTTTGTTTCGAGATAATCAGCATTTAATAGAAGACTACGCACGAGCTTTTGGAGTAAAAATTGCGCCACCGGAAGTGATTAGGAAAAAATTAAGATTAGTAAGATAATAGTTATTTGCAGACTATATGATTGCACGAACGAAGGCTAGTCAATCCTTCTACAATAATACATGGATATTTTCGACAAAAAGACAGAGAGATACATTGGTTTGTCATATTTTGTAGTTTCGGTGCTCTTAAAAAATCTCATAAAGTCAAACAAAAATCCCTACAAAAATCTATTTTTTCACGTGTTCCTGATTTAAACTTTTCCTAAAATGTTGATATAACCTAGATTTTTAGGAGTTTTTTCGAATGAGCTATCAAAAAACTATAGAGTCCCGTGCAAAATTTGAGGGTTTTGCTCTGTTGAAGCTCAAAACGCGTATGGTTCTTCAATAAAATCTGGTAGATTTTTCAGCGGTTTTTGAGCGCGCGCACATCGTGGGCTCAAATCGAACGTTCAAAAGTAGGCAGCCACCTTAAAAAAACATGATTTTGCTGTTTTTGGGATACCTGTGGTACACAAAGTACCCTTTAGCCTCTAAAATAACAAATATTTGCAACAAACACCACGTTTTCTTGTTTTCTTGTGATGACGTCACTTAAACAAAGCCAACTAGGTATGCCAAAAACCTAAAATAGCATATATCCAGTTGATTATCGCTTTTGCATGGCGTGGGTACCCTGTGGTAAAACCAATAAATTTTCAAACCTAATTTTTACCATGTTCCACTAAGCGAATTTTATGGAATTTTCAGTATGTTGTTTATATAGCTACTCTTAACACTAGAACAGTGAAAAACATTTTGTTGCAATTAGTTTGATCTTCCCCTATAAAATCCCATAGATTGACTGGACTACAATGGCTGTTTTGAAAAACATTCAACAGTGAGTGCACTAAGTTTGCTAAATCAGTCTATTACACACACAGTTTAGGAGCAGCTACTAAATGCACAGTGACCATACAATGGTAAGCCATGGCCAGTTTCTTTAATAATCATTAAGTACCTCTGACTTAGGGTAAAAGGTGATTTGTGTGGATCCACCACCTAGGTCCAAAGCACCCACCAATGATTCAACTCCATGATTGAACTTCCCTGGAGAGAGAAGACACCACAACTTAGGAATATTGGCATCAATGGCAAACACTGCTTTGGCGCTGTTTCTTACTGTTGCATTAGCCTTGAACACCACCCATGCTTCCCTAACATATACATATAATTGAACGCCACCCATGCTACCTAACATAAACATATAATTTTTCAAGGAATGGTGTTATTTTTATTTGACTTCTGGTTACAGCCCTATCTGTCAATCAAGGCTGTATTTTGTCATATTTTGTCATATTTTGAGGTCATGTAGCACGAAAACAAGAATGGTGACCCCATTTTTTATTGCATATTTGAAACATCCATGGTGCAATAAATGACTATACAAAGTTTGGGAAAAATGACATTTCTCCTTCTTTTTCAAGGGAATCACCTTATTAGGATATTTGTACTCATGTCAGGCTTTTTCCTGAGATATTATTTTGTCTACTGACCATAATCGGATAATAAAATAATAAATGTTTTATATAATAATAATAATAATAATAATAATATAATAATAAAATATAAAGGACACTGGAGTTATTTTACTTGACCAGAATAAAATAAAACAGAACTGACAAGTACACCAGAGTTCTATTTCCTTACCTATAAGGAAATTAACAGTGACCCATGCAAAGATGCCTTCATCTAAGCCATCCATGATTGAAACACTACTTTCACCAGTCACATGGAAGGGTGAGTCTTTGAAGACTTTATATACCTAGTACAGTCAAGAAAACAGACAGTTGATATTATATGGGGAATGACACATTGTGGTTTTACAGTGCAACTACTACATGTATAACCGGGGCCACTTAGACAGTGAGGGCCAATCAAATTGTAGAATAAAAACAATACATTATGACTTTGGGTAGTGGAGCCAATCAGGAATCAGCAGAAAACAATAGCCTTTCAACATATCTTTTTATTCCCAGGAGAAAATGACCATCGCTATCTAGTTGTTTACATGGAACACCTGGGAAAAGTTACAATTCTCGTGCTGCAGTCTAGGTTTCTGATTGGCTCCACTTCCCAAAGTTGGTATGTATAATTGTCTTCGTTCTACATTTTAATTGGTTCTCTTGTCTAACTGTCTAAGTCACCCCAGTTACAGTAGTTGCACTGTAATCTCTAGGGGGTCAAGAAGGATGCTGGGACTTGGCATACATGTGAGTGGGGTTTATTAAGATTTATTATAATTTTAGACTTGAATATAGATCTAGAGTTTAGACATGCTGTGATTAGATGAGCAACAGTGATTCTGAGATGATAATCACTGCTTGTGCAGTGACTATATGAGGTTTTCCAAAGTTTGCCAGACTGTAAGTAATATCAAAACGATTTTTATCCAGAATTTTGTCTTTTCTCTGATATTAAAGTCTAAGATTATACTAAAAAATTATTCCCCTCAAGCTCATTGATCATGGTGAATATTTAGTACCTCACCATTTAAAGACTCGCTGCTCAGTGAATATTCTACCAATGATCACTTTGCCTTTGGCAAATAATTGTTAAATAATCTCCCTTCAAAGGAGAGGTTTTCCAAGTTACATGTATCTTTAGTTAACAAGACAAACAAAGAATAACATTTTCTAACTTCGGTGTAATGTTTTCCCATATTATCAAAGTCATTAATAATTCATGAGGAATTCTTCATGAGAATAATTCATGAGGAAGAATTCATGATAAGTCATATACAGTATTCGTGTCCGTGTTGTATCAGATATACAATCACTCGGCTACGCCTTGTGGTTGTATATCTGATACAACACGGCCACTCATACTGTATATATTACTTAGACCACATGTCATTCACTAGGATATCATTTCTTTGTTTAATGTTTCATAAAATTTATGGATACAAGTGACCTGAAATATTGGGAGAACATGTATGAACTAAAAAGTTCTATTTAATATAAAAGCCTTATCGTACTCATGCATGATGCAGTGAGAATGCATGGATGATGATGAAAAAGGTCTATCTTAGACTTTCCTGTTCCAAAAGGATTTTTACAACCTTCTGTATTAGTTCTCAACATGATGTTTTTGTACCTCCTGTAGTAGCTGTTTTGAGGCTTTTGGTGGCAGTAACCTCAGTCCTGCAGTAGCCTTCAAAGCCACAGGTGTTTTATGCCATTTGTTGGGAGGAATCACGTCCTTTCCTTTTTGTAGAAGGTTGTAAATAGACATTGCACCCTTAAAATGGAAAATCAAGATTCTACTTAGCAATATAATTATAAATCAATATCATATAATTGGGCAGTTAAATATGATCTGTGATTGAGCCATGCCCTGACTTAGATCACCACAGAGGTTGTTTAAGGGTTTGGTAAAGTTTGAAAGGTTAATAGAAATGATACAAAACTGTTGCAGTAAAGGAAATAAAACGCCATACTCAAAAATTTTGGATCCTTATATGAGCCAGGGGTGAACCTAGCACCATAACGTTACATCAACTGTGCTTTGAATAACAAAGAATACAACCCTCAAATACTTGTTTACATTATCCAACTGTAAACATGTTTTTGGACCAACTCTTGRGTGGCAAGCAAATGAAAGTTAAGGGACTAGAGGAGTCTTTGTATGACTTTGAAAAGGTCAGTGTCATATGAGTGCCTTGCTGCGACCATGTTTTTTTAGAATTTTGATTGGCTGATTTTTTTCCTCACTCAATGTGATTGATAAGGCCTACTTGGGCAGTGCTGTGACCTTGGTGTGTTAGTGCCATGTTTCTGGTATTTGATTTAATGAATAAATTCTTGCACAATGTGATTAGTCTGGCAGGCCTTGCCGTGTCAGGACCAAGTTGACGTATCACAAGCTTTTTCATGGTCATACTAAAACTGCTCTATCTCACAACAGCTAGTTGACAGGTAGGTGTAATTTGTAATTTTTCTCGCTGTCAACTCTCGTAATTTTCATCAACTGCTGCTAAATATGGACCAATAATTTGAAAAAGCTGACTTAACATAAAGCTACTTACAACGTATGAAAAATTAACAGCTGATCAGTCGCCGGTCATAACACAGGCCAAAACAGTTTCAGCTTCATCATACCTCATTTCTGGCTAAACATTACTGGTCAAAATGACTGGCAAATCTAAACCTGCAGCATACATGGGTCGGTGTCCACTGGTAGAACGAAGCTTGGGATTGGGCAAAACAACAAAAACAAAGAAAGCATGGATTATGGTGAACAATGTGTATTGTTCTACATGTGAGCTGCGTTCTTTGTTTTATCTCACCATTCATTGTTTGTTCATCCACTCCCAGGCTTCGTTCTGCCGGTTGTGGATTACCCGCATACATAGAAAAGTTCTGGCAAAACAGCATACCTGTTTTGGATCTTT